GAAAGTTTCAAACCTCCTGGGGGCCTCCCCGGAAAGAGGTTAGATAGTTTAGATAGTTTAGATAGTTCAGGGGCTTCCTGAACTATCTAAACTATCTAAACTATCTAACCTCTGGCTGGGGACGACCCAGAGGGAATTGAAACTATCTAAACTATCTAAACTATCTAAACTATCTAAACTATCTAACCTCTGTTTCTCCCAAAATCGAGGTTAGATAGTTTAGATAGTTTAGGGGCTCGTCTAAACTATTTAAACTATCTAAACTATCTAAACTATCTAACCTCCTTTTCTCCCAAAATCGAGGTTAGATAGTTTAAATAGTTTAGATAGTTTAGATAGTTTAGAAAGTTTCAAACCTCCTGGGGGCCTCCCCGGAAAGAGGTTAGATAGTTTAGATAGTTTAGATAGTTCAGGGGCTTTCTGAACTATCTAAACTATCTAAACTATCTAACCTCTTTCCGGGGAGGCCCCCAGGAGGTTTGAAACTTTCTAAACTATCTAAACTATCTAAACTATCTAAACTATCTAAACTATCTAAACTATCTAACCTCTGTTTCTCCCAAAATCGAGGTTAGATAGTTTAGATAGTTTAGGGGCTCATCTAAACTATCTAAACTATCTACACTATCTAAACTATCTAAACTATCTAACCTCCTTTTCTCCCAAAATCGAGGTTAGATAGTTTAGATAGTTTAGGGGCTCGTCTAAACTATCTAAACTATCTAAACTATCTAAACTATCTAACCTCCTTTTCTCCCAAAATCGAGGTTAGATAGTTTAGATAGTTTAGGGGCTCGTCTAAACTATCTGAACTATCTAAACTATCTAACCTCCTTTTCTCCCAAAATCGAGGTTAGATAGTTTAGATCGTTTAGATAGTTTAGATAGTTTAGAAAGTTTCAAACCTACTGGGGGCCTCCCCGGAAAGAGGTTAGGTTCAGGGGCTTCCTGAACTATCTAAACTATCTAAACTATCTAACCCCTGGCTGGGGCCGACCCAGAGGGAATTGAAACTTTCTAAACTATCTAAACTATCTAACCTCCTTTTCTCTCAAAATCGAGGTTAGATAGTTTAGATAGTTTAGGGGCTCGTCTAAACTATCTAAACTATCTAAACTATCTAAACTATCTAAACTATCTAACCTCCTTTTCTCCCAAAATCGAGGTTAGATAGTTTAGATAGTTTAGATAGTTTAGAAAGTTTCAAACCTCCTGGGGGCCTCCCCGGAAAGAGGTTAGATAGTTTAGATAGTTTAGATAGTTCAGGGGCTTCCTGAACTATCTAAACTATCTAAACTATCTAACCTCTTTCCGGGCAGGCCCCCAGGAGGTTTGAAACTTTCTAAACTATCTAAACTATCTAAACTATCTAACCTCTGTTTCTCCCAAAATCGAGGTTAGATAGTTTAGATAGTTTAGGGGCTCGTCTAAACTATCTAAACTATCTAAACTATCTAAACTATCTAACCTCCTTTTCTCCCAAAATCGAGGTTAGATAGTTTAGATAGTTTAGATAGTTTAGATAGTTTAGAAAGTTTCAAACCTCCTGGGGGCCTCCCCGGAAAGAGGTTAGATAGTTTAGATAGTTTAGATAGTTCAGGAAGCGGCTTCCTGAACTATCTAAACTATCTAAACTATCTAACCTCTGGCTGGGGCCGACCCAGAGGGAATTGAAACTTTCTAAACTATCTAAACTATCTAAACTATCTAAACTATCTAAACTATCTAACCTCCTTTTTTCCCAAAATAGAGGTTAGATAGTTTAGATAGTTTAGGGGCTCGTCTATCTAAACTATCTAAACTATCTAACCTCCTTTTCTCCCAAAATGGAGGTTAGATAGTTTAGATAGTTTAGAAAGTTTCAAACCTCCTGGGGGCCTCCCCGGAAAGAGGTTAGATAGTTTAGATAGTTTAGATAGTTCAGGGGCTTCCTGAACTATCTAAACTATCTAAACTATCTAACCTCTGGCTGGGGACGACCCAGAGGGAATTGAAACTTTCTAAACTATCTAAACTATCTAAACTATCTAACCTCCTTTTTTTGCCAAAATCGAGGTTAGATAGTTTAGATAGTTTAGGGGCTCGTCTAAACTATCTAAACTATCTAAACTATCTAAACTATCTAAACCATCTAACCTCCTTTTTTCCCAAAATCGAGGGTTAGATAGTTTAGATAGTTCAGGGGCTTCCTGAACTATCTAAACTATCTAAACTATTTAACCTTCTTCTCCAAGAAAGGAAAGTAATCACATAGTACCTAAAGGTCCCTCTTACATATATATATATATGTATATGCATAAATATATCTAGATATCTATACAGATACCTTCCTTATATAGTTCTACTCATTTAAGGGGCTGCGCCCATGGGCGGGCAGCGCAGGCAGAAGCGCGGGGCGAGCAGTTTCTAAGCATTTTGAGGCCCCTAAACTCCCTTAAAATCTCTAAGCGTTTGAGGCTCCTCAACCCCCTTAAAGTTTCTAAGCATTTTCAGGCCCCTAAACTCCCTTCAATCTCTAAGCGTTTGAGGCTTCTAGACTCCCTTAAAGTTTCTAAGCACTTTATAAGGCCCCTAAACTCCCTTTTTCCTAGCCCCGACCTTAGACACGTCGCTTATGCCCGCCCTTTGGGGGGCGTCATGCTCCTGATGCGCCCCCGAATTCCCGCCCCGGCAGCCGCCTGATGCTCCTGATGCGCGCCACTGGGGGTCCCGGGCTGGACCATGCTGGACCCGCTGATGCTCATGATGCGCGCCCTCTGGGGGCCTCCGTGGCGACGCAAAAAACCACGAAAAAAAAACCGTTCACCCGCGGCACGCGAAGGTCGGCGGCACTGGCGTCCGGCCCAATTCTGCTTCGCAGAAGGCCGCAGGCTAGCAAGGCTATTCCCTCCGCCAATGCTCGGTCCTTGGGGACCTCGCGCTGCCCGATTTAAAGGCTGACGCCGCTGCCGCCGACCCCCGAGGTAAGCGCTGCGGATGAAGAAGTATGATGGATAGCCTTGGCCATTCCTTCTGCCAGGGGTCTCTTCATGGGTTCTGGGTAGGGGGGAGTAGGGTGCAGCCAACACAAAACGCGTGGTTCCATCTGCTTAACCGCTTCCAAAACAACAAATTCGGTTGTTTTTGGTCCTTTTTCTGTGGGGGGGCCGGCTAGGCAGGCGGGGTAGGGAAGGGGGTAGGGAAGGGGGCAGGGAGGGGTGGGGGGGTGCGAAAAAGGGTGCGTTCGTTTTTCTGGTGGGTGTGGGGGGGGGTCGGGGGTGGGGGGGCGGGTGGGGGGGTGGGGGGGGTTGGGGGGGGGGGGGGGGGGGGGGGCGCAGGTGCTTGGCCGCCTTCCAAAACAACAAATTCGGGTAGGGCGGGGCGAAGAGAAGGGCAAGGGCGGGCGGGGAGGGCGGGGGCGGGTAGGGACATGGGTCACAAAACGTTGGAGTATGGAGGTGGGTTACAATACCAGGTAGGAAGCAAGCCGCGCGGGTCCATGGGGAAGGGCACTAGCGGGTCCAGCGGGAAAGGTACGAGTCCAGCTTCTTGACGCCGACAAAGGGGGTCGGCGGATAAATCTTAACACATATATATATATATATGTATATATGTTTCTGTACATTTTTTCTAGCTCCCAAAAGAGCCCCCTACATAATGCGGTTTTACCTAGAGTCTCTGAAAACCCGGGGCAAGAAAAAACCAGCACAAATCTAGCTGGGAAAGCCTCCCGCTGAGGGTCCTGGCAGGTCTTTGCGATAGGAAGTGTATCGGGTTTAGGGATTTCAGGGTTTAGGGTTCCTCAACCCTAAGCCCTGAACCCGAAAACCTAAACCCTAAACCCTGAACCCTAAAAACCCTAAACCCTGAACCCTAAACCCTAAACCCCAAAAGCCCTTAGGATGGCCCTGCGCGGCATCATCAATGATGAGCTGTTTGGCGCAGTCGCTGCAGATGCTGCTCAGCTCCAGGGGTTTAGGGTTTAGGGTTTAGGGTTTAAGGGTTTAGGGTTTAGGGTTTAGGGTTTAGGGTTTGGGCTGTGGGTTGAGGGTTCAGGGTACACAAGGGGGCCACAGGGAGCCAGCTCCCCCTGCGATGCATGCTGTTTCGAGGCACTTTACAGTAGTTCCCATATTTGGGTGCCCAGGTGTTTTCTTTTCCCTGTACCCGCCACAAAGAAGTGCCTGGCACCTATACTTGCAGGTTCATGGTACGGGTTTAGGGTTTAGGGTTTAGGGTTTAGGGTTACTGTACTGATAACTGTACTTATAACCATATTAGGGCACTCAAGGGGCTTATAAGTGGGTTAATAAGTACCATGAACCTCCAAGCCGGGGTGACCAGAACAAGGCCGTTTATGGTTCAAATAACCTTCATCAGGGCTTAGGGTTTAGGGTTTAGGGTTTAGGGTTTAATTAGGGTTTAGGGTTTAGGGTTGAGGGTTGAGGATACGTACCTTTTTTCGATACTTGCAGTCGGAGGTTTGGTCAACATAGAGTCCTACACCCTAACCCCCAAACCTTACAAGAAAAAAACCCAAGGACATGCTGTTTGCTTTTTACAAAGGTTCGAAGGGCAATATAGCAAGCCTTTGACCACAAAAAACAAAGAAACGACCCTAAACCCGAAGCCCTAAACCCTAAACCCTAAACCCTAAACCCTAAACCCTAAACCCTAAACCAAGGTTAGAAGGGCAACATAGCAAGCCTTTGACCAAAAACAAACAAAGAGACGAAATCCAGGGCTTCGCCATGGTTTGCACCATCATCGTGGATGCACTTGCGGCTTCTTCGCAAGCGCTCACGAAGTTTCGTCCCTCTATACTTATGCTCGGGGTTGAGGGTTTTGGGCTCACTGTGGAAAGTTTCGGGCTTTAGGGTTTCAGGGTTCACTTTCTTTGGGGCAGGATGCCCCAGGATGGCAGTTATCTTTGTTGATCCCTCACATTTCCTGTTCTATGAACCATAAAGCTAAGTGGCCTGCTGAGGAACACAGGCCCTCCTCCCCTGGAACCTTTTGGAATGACTCCTCTACTTGGGCAGTTCTCCAAGGTCACCAGGGACGCGGGTCCGTGCATGCGTTTAGGGTTTAGGGTTTAGGGTTTAGGGTTTAGGGTTTAGGGTTTAGGGTTTAGGGTTTAGGGTTTAGGGTTTAGGGTTTAGGGTTTAGGGTTTAGGCTTCTGGTATGGGTTCTTTCTGCTTCAACCGAGGATGATGCACTTACAGAGGCGCACTGAGGCGAAACATGCCAACTTTCCTGCGGCTGTGTAATGGGGTCTAGGGTTTAGGGTTCAGTAGATTCCCACAAAGTCGCCACAAAGTTCACCGCAATGAAATGTCAGTGAAGCACTCTAGACTCCAGACGAGAGCGTGAGGGTCGAAACCGGTGACGATGTGCCCTCTTTCTCCCGTACAGCAGACGCAGTTTGGACCCAAAGCCCCTATATCCCTTAAACCCTGAACCCTGAACTCCGAACGCAAACCCGCCTTCGCAACCGGAGAGGCTTGAGGCCTCCAGCCTGTATGGACCCGCTAAGGTGACCCCAGACTCAGCAAAAGAACTGGCCCAGACCAAGTACTGCGCCAAGGCCGGGGCTGTGCCAGGGCTTTCGGGTTTTTGTGGGCTCGCAAGTGGGGTTTCTTGAGTCTGGGATGCCTTTTTTAGGGTTTAGGGTTTAGGATTTAGGGTTTAGGGTTCAGGGTCTAGGGGTTTTGCGTTTCGGATGCAAAAGGGTGTGTGTGTGTGGGTGCGACTCTTCGCAGTTTGCGAGCTCGGGCGCGTACAAGCAAAGTGCTGCAACTGGGGGTGGGGCCGGGGGGGAGCTGGTGGCGCTCTCCCGGGCCACAAAGTCACCCTACAACCTACACCCTAAACCCTAAACCCTAAACCCCCCAAACCTCACGACAAAATAGAACCCCCCAATGATGGCGAATCACCAGTTATTTGCGCAGTCGGGCTGACCCACCCGCCACCCAAGAGGTAGTTGAACCCTAATCGGTTTAGGGCTTAGGGTGCTCAGGCTTGCCCGAATGGACATCTTTTGTAGCATGTGATATATGAGGATCCAATTTTAGAGTACTCTTTAAACCCTAAACCCTAAGCCCTAAACCCTAAACCCTGTTTCAAGGAGGCTCTCAAGCCCTGAAAACCTGGAGCCCCAAAAAACTCATCCGGGGAGGACAGCGCCTTCAGCCAAGCCGTGAACACCGTGAAGTGGCGCGTGCCTAAGGAGCCGGGAGACTTGCTTATTTAGGGTTTGGGGTTTAGGGTTTAGTGTTTAGGGTTTAGGCTTTGACGTTGGGGGTTGGGTATTTAGGGTGTAGGGTTTTGGGCTGAAGCTGGTCGCAAGGCACCGTTTTGGGCTGGGAGAACCAGGCTTGGACCATTGGCAGCCTGACATTCGCAGATGCCCAAGAGATATCTTACATGCATCCCTTCTTGCGTTTAAGAGAGTTGAACCCTAATTGAGGCCCTAAAAAGGCGGAAAAGCCCCACGCACTTTTCCCGAGGGTTTCCAGGGGAGTAGACTAGCCGACCGACGCAGTGGACTCCCTGCAGGACATCGCCCAATGCGGCCTTGCTGCACAAACTCCTGAAACTTGCGAGGTCGTTCGCGAGTGCCTAGATCTATAGTTCACTTGAGAACAGTACAGATCGTTTTTCTGAAGTGGGGGGGGGGGGGGGGTACTCATGGGGAATCAGGGAACTAGGTTCCCCTGTAGGTGTTTTAGTCGGGGATCCGAAAGCCACATGTAGTCCCTTGAACGCTTATATATATATATATATAGTAAAGGTAGATAAATATGTATAGTATGTATATATATATACATATACTTTATGTCGTTGGGGGAGGTGTAAATCAGCGGTAAGGCACCTCATCCCGGAGCTGCCTAGCACAAGCAAGAAAAAGCAAACCAAATCTACGGTTTCGACATTTTGTCACATCGTGGAGTCTTTCGGTTGAGGGGCTTCGGCTTCCCACATCTCAAGCTTAGGAAACTGTAAACCCTAAACAGGAGCCTTTAACTGATTCCCCTGAACCCTTACACCCTTAACCCTGAACCCTTAAACCCTTAAACCCTGAAACCAAAAACCCTTAAGCCCTACACCTTTGAACCCTTAAACTCGAAACTCTGAAACCCTGAAACCCTAAACCCGAAACCCGTAAACCCCTAACCCCTGAAACTCTTGAACCCTGAAAACCTGAAACCCTAACCCCCCCAATCTGGAGCCTTTCCTGCGCGCGCGTGAGAGAGTCGAAACCCTAAAACCCTGAAACGCTTAAACCCTAAACCCTCAACCCTCAACCCTAAACCCTAAACCCTAAACCCCTCTGGGCGGTTCAGGCATGGCCGTGTTCGTCGAGGTGCTCGAAGCCTTGGTCGAGGGCATGTACTGGCAGGCAGGGTTTAGGGTTTAGGGTTTAGAGTTTAGGGTTTAGGGTTTAGGGTTTAGGGTTTAGGGTTTAGGGTTTAGAGTTTAGGGTTTAGGGTTTAGGGTTTAGGGTTTAGGGTTTAGGGTTTAGGGTTTAGGGTTTAGGGTTTAGGGTTTAGGGTTTAGGGTTTAGGGTTTAGGGTTTAGGGTTTAGGGTTTAGGGTTTAGGGTTTAGGGTTTAGGGTTTAGGGTTTAGTAGGGTTTAACCCCCAAATCCTGACCGCTAAACCCTCAACCCAGTTCCAAATGGGTTCAGGGGCTTGGGGGGTTGGGACTGAGAGGAAGGTTGGGATTTCTCTTCTGAGTCGTTTTTTAGGGTTTCGGAGTTTGGAGTTTAGAACTGTTGCTTTTGGGAGGGGTTACGAGGAAGCTCATGGGTACCTATTGCATACGGTCTTAACTTCCTACTTATACTCCTCCTTATAAGACTAGTAAGTACCCATGAGCTCCAAGCAGGCGAGGGTGAACCGGAGTGATTGTTTGATGTCGGAAGACTGGCCCCACCTTGTAGCAAAAAATGGTTTTGGAACTTGGCACAGTGATGTAGTTACAAGCCTGAACCCTAAACCCTAAACCCTAAACCCTAAACCCTAAACCCTAAACCCTAAACCCTAAACCCTAGATGCTGCAGCACGCAGCCGAGCCCTTGCTTGAGGTCTCTTCTGCCGTCGCCCCGTAGGATTCCGTGCTCAATAGTACTAGGATCCAGAGAAGGCCCTTATTCCCTTTTTCGGGGGGGGGGATTTAGGTTCCCGCATAATCCCCTTTAAACCAGAAGGGGCGCCCTTGTTATTCCTAGGTTCCTCTTGGGTCTAGAATACCCTACTAAATCCCCTAAACCCTAAACCCGAATATTGTTTTGGGTGCAAGAGGAGACACTGGTGGCGCCGACCAGTGGCTTGTGTGCATGGAGAGGTTTGGGATTGAGGGCCTTCGTTGCTTGTGTTCGTGGTGCAGGGCCCGCATTTTCCCCAATCGAAGGTGCCCTGAACCCTAGACTTAGTGTTTAGGCGTAGGGTTGAGCTTCACGCAAGGCCGCTTCACTTTGAGCTGAGATCGCCCAAAGCTACGACTACGATTGTGACTACGACGACTACTACGACGGCGGCGACGACGACGATGATTACTTCTACTACTTTTACTACTTTTAACACTTTTACAACTTTTACTACCAATGCTACTGCTACTGATACTGTTGCCTTTCTGCGTTTGTTGTAACGCGGTTATGTTTTGGATCTGTTGTATTTGCGTTCCAACGACAAGGGCAACGACATCTGCAGCTCAAGCCAAGACTTTTGCTCGGAATGCGGTGTTCCATTGTTTCGTATTGAGCTTAGCTGTGCATCCGCATTTCTTCAAGCAGGGTTTAGGGTTTATTAGATCTGCCAGAGCTGAATCGTCACCAAAATTTCGGGCCTGGACGATAGCAGCGCAGCTAAAGCTCAACTTGATGTCCTCTCCTCCGTCCGCCTTCCAGCAACCCCCCTGACGCGCACGCTCAGATTACTTGAATCCGTTCCTGCAAAACAGAGTCGTCAACGTCTCGACGTGCTGGCGCCAGACGCACCTCGCCTGGAAGCTGATGGTATTTGTGTGTGTTTAGTTTGGGGGCCAAAGCTTTAGGGTTCTAGGGTTTTAGGGTTTTAGGGTTTTAGGGTTTTAGGGTTTTAGGGTTTTAGGGTTTTAGGGTTTTAGGGTTTTAGGGTTTCGGGTTTAGGGTTCATGTACAGGGGTTTAGGGACAGATGCAGTTCCAACAACCCCCAAGAGTGGGGTTTCGCAGCACCTTTCTTGGTTGCCGTTAGTAACATGTTCATGAGGGACCACAAGTCACAAGCGCATACATGTGTGTATATATGTATATATAAAATTTTTTTACTTATTTATATTTAATACACACACATAGGTCACATAGGTATATATATATATATATATATGTATTGTTGATGCTTGTCACAAGCATAGAGGGCTTGCAAAGAGGTTGTCAAGAACAGGTGAGTTCATGCGAGGCTTTGCGCGGTCCCGAGAGGTTTTGTTTGATTCCACGCCAGGTTCAATTTTGCAGGCCATGCTGGTTGAAGTTGAAGCCCATGCCCGAAACCCTAACCCCTGTAATTCCTAAACCCTACTTGGAGGCTCAGGGTACTTACAGCCCCAATTATAACCCCCCAAGTCCCCTAAGTCCTCCAAGTAGGTTATACGTAGACTTAGAACTGGGGTGATAGCCCTAAACCCTAAACCCTAAACCCTAAACCCTAAACCCTAAACCCTAAACCCTAAACCCTAAACCCTAAACCCTAAACCCTAAACCCTAAACCCTAAACCCTAAACCCTAAACCCTAAACCCTAAACCCTAACCCATGAATCTCCAAGTAAACCCACGGCATATTTTAGGCTCAGCCGAGGCATGGCAACTGGCATCGGGTTGCAGCAGCTCGGAGCAGGGTGTTTTTCTGTGGAGGGTTTAGGGTTAAGGGTTAAGGGTTTAGGGTTTAGGGTTCAGGGTTTAGGATTTAGGGTTTAGGGTTTAGAGTTTAGGGTTTAGGGGCGTAGCCAGTTTTGTTTTCAGGCTTCTTCTGCCGCGAGGTCGCCTCGAGAACGAACCCTCCCAGAAACTAGGACCCACAGTAGGCCGTAGGGTCCCTTAGAAGACCGTTTCAACCAAACAGGCTACCCTTTCTATTCCTCGGATGCGGTCTGTTTGGTCTGCAACTTAGACGCCGAACAATTGAGGAGACCGGAAATGTCAAATCCTGAAGGGCGCAGCATAGGCATCCTGCATGAATCACGGGTCCCCGCAGTGCGTTCGCATGACGTAGCGTAGCATCAAGCCCCGACACCCCTAAATCCCTCAACCCTAAACCCTAAATCCTAAACCCCTGAACCCCTAAACCCTGGACCCTAAACCTCTTAAAACCCGCAGGCGCAGATGATGAAGAAGCTCATGTATTTCTTCGGGCGGATCAATGAGCTGACTGAGCCCACCTTGACAGACGCACAGAAGGAGGCGCGGGCCCCGCCATCATGATGGTCCGGGGCTGTACACTGCTGCCGCTCAGGGAAGAAGCAAGGGTTTAGGGTTTAGGGTTTAGGGTTTAGGGTTTAGGGTTTAGGGTTTAGGGTTTAGGGTTTAGGGTTTAGGGTTTAGGGTTTAGGGTTTAGGGTTTAGGGTTTAGGGTTTAGGGTTTAGGGTTTAGGGTTTAGGCACCAGAAGCTCTCACTTTGCTTCTACCCATGTGTCGAGGCGGCCTGGGATGGATTCCAGAAGGTCCCTGCCTCCTTTGTGGCCTTCATGAACACTCTGAAGACCATGAAGGCTGCTGACCAGGCCGGTTTAGGGTTTAGGGTTTAGGGTTCAGGGTTCAGCGTGTAGGGTTTAGGGTTTAGGGTTTATAGGGTTTAGGGTTTAGGGTTTAGGGTTTAGGGTTTAGGGTTTAGGGCCCTACATCGGGCATCGTGTCGGGGAAGTTTTTGGGCGTCATGGCGCCCAATGCTGTTCGCAGAAGGCTTCTGAAGGGATTCAAAGACTATTCAAAGGTTTAGCCTGTGTAGAGTAGGGAACCTTTATTTAACCTTGTTGGGGTAGTAGAATGTCCTTAAAATCCCAAAGTTTAACCTTTAATTCCCCCAGGTTACTGGACAACTAGGTTTAGGTCGCACGAAGTTCCCTGAACTTGGGCCCATTTCCTTTTCTCAGCAAGTCTCGGGGCTTACCTTCATTTATGTCTTTTTTGGGGTCCTGTCTTTCCGCCAAAGCATTTCGGAAAGCATCAGTGGTGCTCAGGGACACTTAAAGCCCATCTCTATCCGCAGTTCTAAACCCTGAACCCTAAACCCTCAAGCCGAAACCCTAAACCCATCCCTTTTTCCGTATTTCTAGTGCTGGGGCTACGTCGCAAAATGTCCACAAGGGACTACTTGCTAGCCCGGTGGCACCTTTTTCCTTTTTTCTTGGCTCTGGGTTTAGGGTTTAGGGCCTGGCGCGTCTGTAGCTGACCCGCGGTTTTTGTGGGAGTGAAGGTTTGGGGAGTCACTTAGGTCGCAGTTGCTTTAGGGCGCTTTCAGCGGCTCTGCAAGACCCTAGGGGTCCATGTACCTCTATGGTATATACTTGGCCCCTAATTGCTGCTATATGGGAACCCCTTGAAGGCCCAAGTATATACCATATGGGCACATGGACCCTCAGGGTCAAGTGTCCCAGCTTCTTTCTCAGGGCCTCCGGGCTGCCAGAGTGATGCGGTTTAGGGTTTAGGGTTTAGGGTTTAGGGTTTAGGGAACTGGAACAGATACTCACACAGCTGGGGGTTGGCTTGAGGCCTCGACGCTTTAGCGGACACAGCTAACTCAGACGGAATCGTTTCCTGAATCTGCTTCCAGAGGTTGTCTACAGTGCCGCTGTGGGCCTGAAGAGCTGGTTTAGGCCCTCTCAGAAACTGCTTCCTCCAGATACCCCTGGAATGAATGACATGGAAGTGCGGCAACCCCAAAGAATCCCAATCCTGATTTATAGTTTGGCACCGTCTGTGACGATCGCCTCGCATCTTCTCTTGTCAATGTATTCCAATCCCCACACTGAAGTACAAAGTGCCTAAAAACTCGAGCGAAAACCGAAACCGTACCAAATAAAAGAAAAAATCCTCAAATATTACATCGAAAAACGGACCTCGAAAAATGCACAGGTGTCGAGCGAAAACAGTGTTTTACAACAAAACTACGGGTCACTTATGGAAACGTCTAGGTTTAAGGTTACAAAAAGAACCAACCCCAAAAAGGGCACCCCTATTAGAATATGGTTACTAGGCAACCAAGACTATAATCGACAGAAACCCCGAATGCTGACCCCAAGCTTGCAAGTCAGATCTTGAAGGTCTTGAGAGTTTGGTTGCCTTGTGAGGGAGTTTCTGACATCTTTAGTTCCTGAATAGCAGTCAAGTATGGAAGTGGCGGGGCAGGGTTTAGGGTTTAGGGTTTAGGGTTTAGGGTTTAGGGTTTAGGGTTTAGGGTTTAGGGTTTAGGGTTTAGGGTTTAGGGTTTAGGGTTTAGGGTTTAGGGTAAAGATTTCGGAGTCTGGGGCTCTGATCCTGCCGCACCTGGAGCCTCGTCTTCGGGGCCCTGATGCCCCGAGCCCTGTCAGGGAGACCACTATCTCTTGCTTTCCCCAGTCCATCCCCGTGCAATATTCACATGCGTATGTACGCATGTATGTATCTTTGTGCGTACATACGTATGTGTATAAATAGAAAACGCAGAGATGTATCTATCTTGATGTTTAGGTTTTTGGGCTTAAAGTTTACGATGTTTTTCTTTTTTTGTTGAGGGGGGCTGTTCGGCTATTCATGAAGGGGTTTGGGGTTTAGGGTCTAGGGTCTAGGGTGTACTAAACCCTAAACCCCAAACCCCAAACCCCTTCATGAATAGGGTTTAGGGCTTGGGGACCTCTGGGCAGGTGAACCTCTGCCGCGTCTTCAAGCTTGCCAAGGAGTCGGCAGCATCGGGACAGCCCACGACTTGGCAGGCCTGGGGCTCAGGGGTTAGGGTTTACGGTTCAAAAAAGGGTTTAGGGTTTAGGGTTTAGGCCTGGACCCTAAGCCCCATACGGGAAGCGCAAACCTTCGGCCCAATAACAGCCCCGTAAACTCTACAAACTCTAAACCGATGAAGAGTGGTGATTGCGCAGGCCACCCCAATGAATAATTGTAAACGCCTGCGACCGCCGCCTCGGCAGAGTGGCCCCAAGGCGCAGGTCCCGAAAGCCCAAGGAGGGTCCCAAGGGGGGTCCCAGGCAGGTCCTAGAGGAAAAGTGCCGAAGTGAACAGAGAACAGGGCTGGGGGGGTGTACAGAAAGTTTTGGGGGGGGGGGGGGGGGGGGGGGGGTTTCTCAAAATGGGGTAGGAGACCACATCCTGTCTTGTTCTAGACTCTAGACTTCTCGGCTGGAAGCCGAGGCGATCACGGAAGTGGACCCTAAACCCTGAACACTAAACCACCCTCGGACATTGGTCCCTCTTCAAGCTCACCGGTTTAGAGGCTATGGCAGAAAGGGACCCCAATAAAACACCTTCCTTGGAGGTTCATGGGGTTTTATAAGCGGTTGTAATGACCTTCAAGAAGATTATTGCCATCGTTACGCTTCGAAGTACCCACGAACCTCCACGTACTCATAGTGGGGCTCTGTCCAATCGGTATCCCAAGTGCGAGCGTGTATTGCACAGGAGCCTGAAGAACTACCCATGTCATGATCCCTATGTATGGGTTAGAGTTTCGGGTTGAGGGTTTAGGGGTGTAGGAAGGTGGGCTTTGGGTTTAGGGTTGCTACCCCAAATATACCATTCTGTTTAATTGGTTCCTTAAGTACCTACGAAGATCCAGGAGGCTTTCAGGGCAATTTCGTGAGTGATCCGAGATACTCTGGACACCCTATGGTTAGGGTTTGGGGTTTAGGGTTTAGGGTTTAGGGCTTAGGGTTTAGGGTTTAGTTGGCGTTTAGGGTTTCTAGGGTTTATGGTACAGTTGACTGTTCAGGGATCATGTCAAAGAGCCCCTCAGGGAGAACAGGGCCATGTCTGAACCACCATGAACGAGCTTTGGTTACAGGGAAACCTTGGTGAAACCCCTGAACCCCTAAACCCTACACCCCAAAACCCTAAACCCTAAACCCGAAGCTCGTGCATCTAGCGGTGAAGGTCATGCCCATGCTCGATGCCGCGGGGGTGAACACCATGATCACCGACCTTGTGAACCTTTGTCCGAACTGACATTCTTTTTTGTGTTCGCCGGGCGCTGGTTCCCTGTAATATCCTTGTATATTCCCACAATAGCGTGTTTCATAGATGTAGTTAGGATATATATATATATATACACACGTACATATTCATATTTTTACACATAGGCGCAAATATATACACCTCAATTTGTACATTGCCAAATGTGAGAGAGGCAGCAAGGTAGTGTAGGCGTTTCGTGTTTAGCGACCCTGTGCCCCAAAGGGGCCGTCTTCGGGCTTACAGGCCCTAACCCTAAACCCTAAACCCTAAACCCTAAACCCTAAACCCTAAACCCTAAACCCTAAACCCTAAACCCTAAACCTATATATAACATAAACACATACATATACGCACACTCCGGTAGTACTTATGTTTGCTGTCCTCTTCCCCCTGCAGGCACCACTAAGGGAGGACCTGCGGCGTGCCCCCTGGGATGGACAAAATGCCCCCAACTCGAAGGTTCATGGGGTACTTACTTGTAAGTAGGGTTTAGGGTTTAGGGTTTAGGGTTTAGGGTTTAGGGTTACAAGCCCCCTAAATAAAGTTAGAACTAGAGTTACCCCAGTGATAGCCCTACTTACAAGAATCCAGGAGCACCAGCTAATTTGTCACGACGAAGCTTTTCCCTCTGAGGCAAAAGAACGACCCCTTGGTGGAGCCGTCACCTGTCTCGCAAGGTTATGTGCTGAGCTCTCCAGGAAAAAGGTTAAACTTCTAGGACCCAGAGTAGGGCCTTAATTGTTCCTTTTTTTGGTTCAAGTTCCCTTATCAGCCCCTGTTAAACCCAAAACAATCCTTAGTTGCGTATTGTTTTTGGTTTAAGTTCCCTTATATCAGCCCCTGTTAAACCAAGAAGTTACTTGTTTTTCATTCCGCGTTCACTCTTGGGGTCCGGACGTTGCAAGCTCCGGGGAACTCTTGCGCGCCGAGGCGGCCGACATCAATCTTCTAAGCCCTAAACCCTAAAGCCTAAACCCTAAACCCTAAACCCTAAACCCTAAGCCTGGATCGGCCCCCAAGCCCTGCAGTCGCCGAAGCCCCTAAAACCCCAAGCATCATGGGTTCCCCTACCACCCCCTTCTATACCTAGGGTTTAGGGTTTAGGGTTTAGGGTTTAGGGTTTAGGGTTTCTAGGTTCCCCCAATAGTTAAGGCTATTTAGGGCTAATTGAGCCTCATTGGGGTGATTTAAGGGGGGGAACCTAGGGTTGTAGCATACAGAGGGGTAGTAGGGGAACCCAAGAAAACGGTTGGTATTTTGCTCAAGCACTGGAGCAGTGTGATATTGAATCAATCAACTTTTGAGTTGACGCCTTCTGCCGGAACTTTTGGCCCAGAGCCTCCCCCACATATGCCACAGTGAGAGTTGAAACCCTCAACCCTCAACCCTCAACCCTAAACCCTCAACCCTAAACCCTAAACCTAAACCCTAAACCCTAAACCCTAACCCTAAACCCTAAACCCTAAACCCTAAACCCTAAACCCTAAACCCTAAACCCTAAACCCTAAACCCTAAACCCTAAACCCTAAACCCAAAGCATGCTCAGGGCGCCAGCCTTTTCCAGCGACGTGAAGGATCCCACTGGAATCTGCAGCTACAAGCTAGAGCTGCTTGGGATAAGGGTTGAAGGATACGTTTAGGGTTTAGGGTTTAGGGTTTAGGGTTTAGGGTTTAGGGTTCCCTAAACCCTAAAAACACTGTTGCAGCAAGGGGCAGGTGTAGGGCTTGTAGTATTTCATAGGGTTTAGGCTTTTACAGGGCAGCTTAATTTGTTTATAGGGTTTCAGTTTTTACAGGGTTCAAGATTTAGAGCTTGTACATATAACATGTTTATGTGTGTGTAGTATTTTGTTAGGGTTTGAAATCTATAGGTTTAGCATGTAGGGCTTATAGTATTTCATGGGGTTCAGGTTTTGCAAGGTTGAAGTTTAAGATTTAGAGGGCTTATGGTAGGTCTATAGGGTTAAAGATTTAGGGGTTATAGTATTTTATAGGGGTTAGGTTTTACAGAGTTTACGTAGATTTACAGCGTTTAGAGCGTATAGTACATTTTTTTAGGATTTAGGATCTACAGGGTTTAAGATTTAGGGCTTGTAGTGTATAGGGTTCAGAACTTGCAAGGTTTAATATTTAGAGCCTATAGAAGTTGATAGGGTTTAGGCTCTTTTGGGCTTAAGATGTGGGCAAATAGTCTGTTGTAGGGTTTATGAGCTTTTACAGGGTTTAAGATTTAGAGCTGATAGATTTTATAGGGTTAGGATTTATAGGGTTTAAGATTTAGAGCTTATAGTACGTTTATAGGGTGTAGGTTTTTGCAGGGTTTAAGATTTAGAGCTTATAGTATTTGGAAAGGGTACTGCTCTATAGGGCTTAAGATTTAGGGCGTGTAGTACTTTATAGAGGGTTTAGGATATCAGAGGGTTTAAAACTTATGGGGTTATAGGGCTTAGGGACTTGTGAGGCAGGGGTTGTAGCCCTGCCGCCGAGTGTTTAGGGTTCAGGGACCCCTAGCCCTTCCCCTAAACCCTAGACGCAAAAACGGACCCTAAACCCTAAACCCTAAACCCTAAACCCTAAACCCTAAACCCTAAACCCTAAACCCTAAACCCTAAACCCTAAACCTCAAACCGCAGGCTTCACAGACAGAAGGGATCTTAGGGGTTCGAGGGCTTCGGGCGTGCCTTGCTTCCAGGTGATAAGGACAAGAGCTCCGGACTCAAAGTGGGTTTAGGGTTTAGGGTTTAGGGTTAAAAAAAGGGTTTAGGGTAAGGTTCATAGGAACTTATAAGTAGGGCTATAAGTCCTATAATCTCACCTCTACTACTATTTGTCTAAGAACCCCCCTTAATAATGCCTCTAGCAAATAGTAGTGTAAGTACCCAAAATGAAGCTCCACGTTTAGTTTAGGGCTTAAGACGGCTTTTGCTTTGGGAACTCGCGCAGGAACCTTCGCCGGATATTCGAGGGTTTAGGCTTTAGGGTGTAGGGTTTAAGGTTTAGAGTTTAGGGTTCTAGGGTTTAGGGTTTAGGGTTTAGGGTTTAGGGTTTAGGGTTTAGGGTTTAGGGTTTAGGGTTTAGCGTTTAGGGTTTAGGGTTTAGGGCTGACAAACCCTCCGGCGCCCACAATCCAAACGGCAAACTCAGGGACGCGAAAGTCACCGAAGTCACAGGCTGGGTTTAGGGTTTGGGGTTTGGGGTTTGGGGTTTGGGGTTTGGGGTTTGGGGTTTGGGTTTGGGGTTTGGGGTTTGGGGTTTGGGGTTTGGGTTTGGGGTTTGGGGTTTAGGGGGGTGGGGAGGGAGCGGGTGGAGAGGCACTGACCTCCTGGACTGTTGCAAAGACAGGATCCTTAAACCCGAAAAACCACCAAAAACCCGAAAAACTCCAAACCCTAAACCCTAAACCCTAAGCCCTAAGCCCTAAGCCCTAAGCCTAAACCCTAAACCCTAAAGGCGAAGGCCTGGTGTAGGGGGTTGGGGGCTCCGTCGACCTTAAACTCCACATCTCAACTTTCCCCTAAGGGTCCATGTACCTCATTATTATGCACTTGGGCCCTAAAGTCCCTAAATAGGAGGTACTTTAAGGCCCAAGTATTCCCTATTTAGGTACATGGACCCTTAGGGTTTCAATCTCAAGCTGCATGAGCCTACCATTCGGCCAGCGAGTTGCGGGTTTCAAGCTTTGGGGTTTAGGGTTTAGGGTGTTTAGGGTTTAAGGCATAAGCTTAGGGTGTATGGGTTAGGGTTTAGGGTTTTGGGTTTAGGGTTTAGGGTTTAGGGTTTAGGGTTCAGGGTTTAGGGTTTAGGGTCTCCACCCTCCCTCAGAGCAAACCTCCCTGGTCAGGGCTCTCGAATCTGAGAATGGAGGATCTGGTCGTTGATGGCGGCCCGGCCACAAAGGGAGAAGTTGGGACGTCGTGGGCTGCTTATGGAAACCTGGAGCTCCGGTTTAGGGTTTAGCGTTGAGGGTTTAGGGTTTCTGGTGTAGGGTTTAGGGTTTAGGGAGAGCTACCCCCAAAGCTCTTCTTGAAGGGTCATGGATACAGAAAAGAAGGGTCATAAGGGCATACTTAGAAGGACCGAAATGAACCTCCAAGTAGGGCTTGGTGTTCCCTACGCCCTAAACCCTAAACCCTAAACCCTAAACCTTAAACCTTAAACTTAGCCTAAACTCTACACCCCGGGGTTCCTTGATCTCCCAGTTGGCCCTGTTCCCGTAGGACCCCAAGAGCACCGTGGTTACTGGAAACTGCAGCTTCCCAGCGCCCGAGGCTTCCGCTTTAGGCCCCTAAATCCGAAACCCTAAACCCTAGAATCCTAAACCCTAAACCCTGAACCTTAAACCCTAAACCCTAGAACCCTAAACCCTAAACCTTAAATCCCCCAAGGAAGCTACGATGAACAAAGCACTTTCGACGACACCGCGATCAAGCTGCAGCTGGGTCTGAGGCTTCTCAGTCTGCAGCCCGGGTTCAGGGTTTAGGTTTAGGGTTTAGGGTTTTTAGGGTTTTTCGGGTTTTTAGGGTTTTTGGGGTGTTTTAGGGTTTTTCAGGGCGTTTAGGGTTTTAGGATTTTTAAGGTTTAGGGTTCAGGGTTTGGGGTTTAGGGTTTAATTAGGGCTGATCTAAACCATTGCCCCTTTGGGGGTGGGTCTCTGACATAGTAGGTGGGTACCAACCCTAAACCCGAACTAGGTACTCCTAACTTCCCAAACGGACGCAGGAACGGGCTGAGGACACCCGGGTGCCCCTATAAAGAACCAGCGACTCCTGCTTGCGGTTGCTTTGTGGTTGCTTCAGGGGCTGTTTAGGGTTTAGGGTTTAATTAGGGTTCAGGGTTTAGGGTTCAGGGCTGTGGTCCCCAGATTGCCCATCGAGAAAAGCGGCTTTCTGGAAACAGTCTTCGCCAGAGGAGAGCACGGCCACAGCATGCCTTCGACATGGCAGTCACGTAACTGCTGGAAGTCCTAAACCCTAAGCCCTAAGCCCTAAGCCCTAACCTCTAAACCCTAAACCCTAACCTCTAAACCCTAAACCCTAAACCCTAAACCCTAAACCCTAAACCCTAAACCCTAAACCCTAAACCCTAAACCCTAAACCTTCGCCAAAGAACACGAGAGACATGCATACCAAGGACGTGCCCGGTGGACTTGACGGTCAAAGCATCGGCGAACTTCAAGCAGGACGCAGGCAAAGTCTGGGACCCCTGCAGCTGGCTCAGACCTGGTTTAGGGGGTGAGGGTTTAGGGTTTAGGGTTTGGGGTTTAGGGCTTAGGGTTTAGGGTCAGATGCAAGTCACCACGATTTCCTGCCCATTCCCGGCCGACGACCCAAGCTCGGATGCAAAAAGGGGTTTAGGGTTTAGGGTTTAGGGTTTAGGGTTTAGGGTTTAGGGTTTAGGGTTTAGGGTTTAGGGTTTATAAGGTTCAGGGATCACTTGCGCAGCATTCACCAGACAACCGCCCCACAGTCGCTGTGGGAACCTTAGCCCCTCGGCCTCCACACTTGCCGCTGACAAGGCATCGGAGTAACCTGGGGAGTCACCACCCAGCTGGACGTCACCTTCCGGCCGCTCTCTTCACCTCAGCCCTTTAATGGGTGCAGAGCGATTTGCGTTCAAGAAGCTGCTTTAGGGTTTGGGGGGTTTTGGGTTTTGGGTTTCTTTTTTGAGTTTATTTAGGGCTTTGGAGTTTAGAGCTTGCTTTCTGCTAGCAGCTTCAGGCTTCAGGGGTCTAGAGCAGTCAAGGGTAACTTGGGCCGCCCTGCTGCGGAGTCTAGAAAGCAAGGGGCTTGGGGGTTTTAGGCTTAGGGTTTGCAGGGTTTAGGGCAACTCTGGGCATGAGGTATGCGAAGGCTCCGATGCGGTGTAAACACAACAAACAAGGAAACAAGGAATGGCGAATTGCACCCTCAGCCCTAAGTCCTTGCGAGCGTGCACGGCTACATCGCTCGGCCTGAGCTATACAACTACACTGTGCATCAGATCGGGGAAAACAGCTTGTCAGCAAGGCACTGGCCTCCGGACTACTGTTTTGAATGTGAGGAATGGCCAGTGTTTGTAGGGTTCGCAGGGTCTGTCGTGTTTTAGAGGGTTTACAGGGGTTTTGAGTGCTGGCTCATGTTGATAGGGTTCATGCGGTTCGCCGGGTCTGTAGTGTTTTACAGGGTTTATAAGCTTTGTCTGTTGTAGAGACCCTAAACCCTAAACCCTAAACCGAGTGTTTTAGAGGGTTAGGCTTCAGGGTTTTTAGGGTTTCTGGGTTTTCTGGGGCAGGGATGCTCTGGGAGCTGAGGGTGGCCAGCACGCGACCTGGCCGCCAAGAAGACATGCCTCGAATCCTTTCGCGATCATGGGCTTTGGGCGTTTAGGGTTCAGGGTTGAGGGATTTAGGGTTCAGGGTTTCTCGTTGCAAAAGGGTTTTGGGTTTGGGGGTTGAGGGGTTTAGGGTTTAGGGTTGGGGGGTTGAATGCTGCAAAGCGTCCTCCAGGCGTGAGCGAGCAAAAGGGTTTACAGCTTCTAGGCCGTGCTGAGGAAACTCCGCTACACCACCGATGCCTTGAGAACCCTCAGCCCCAAACCCTTACGCGCCAACCACCTCTAAGGCGGGTTTCCTAGACCGCAAACCCTAAACCCTAAACGCCGTCGGAGCCGGAATCGAAGGCCCCTGAACCCTAAACCCTACAAGCGCACAAACATGCTTCAATGCTGGTCTCAATTTTGAAACGACACAGGGTCAGCCCATTGCCCTATTCGCAGGAGCCGCCCTGCATGGTTTTTACGGTTAACTTGAAGGTTCATGGGTCCTTGTAAGTGGGGTTATAGGTACACCCCTAAGAGCGTTAGAACCCTAATTACCCGTACAACCCTACTTGGAAGTGCTTTTGGGAACCTCCAAGTAGGGCTGAAAAAGCCAGGCTCCAGCCCCTGCACTCCCAACTTGGCAGGACTGTACAGCCTGAGTTTAGGGTTTAGAGTTTAGGGTTCAGGGTTCAGTTTAGGGTTTAGGGTTCAGGGTTTAGGGTTTAGGGTTTAGGGTTTTGGGGTTGCGGTCCTTAATCCTAAACCCTAAGCCCTTGTCCGGGGGCTAAAGAATCCACAGACACACCGCCTATTCGGCCCAAACAACAGCACCCTCGTTTTAGGCCACTGGGCATTCTTGTTAGCAAGGAGAATAGATTCGAAAACCCTACTCTTGAACCCCATCCCTAAACCCAAACCCCTCAACCCTAAACCCTAAACCCTACACCCTAAACCCTAAGCTCGGAATCAGGGTGGCCTGGGCAAAGGCCAGCTTCGGCAAGCTGTTTTCAGGAAGCCGCTCGACGCCTGAGTTTGGAAGTTTGTGTTGCTCTCGGCAGGTTGTAGTTGTTTGGGTTGGGATCTTCCCCCGTATACGAACAGTCCTTAAAGGGCATTAGAGTACCCTCCAGTATGATAACCTGTTAGTACAAGGGGGAATATCCCCAAGTTTGGGGTTTGTGGCTTGAGGTTTTGGGGTCTTGGTATGGTCTGGCCTTTAGGGCGTTGGTAGTGTTTCGGGGTTTAGGCTTCGGGTTTCGGGCTTATGGGCTGTGCTCAAGATCTGGCAGGGGCTTTTGCGGGTCGAAGACGGCCCCGTAGGAAGGAAAAATCGCTTTCGCGGGGCATTTGGTGAGGGTTTGGGCTTTAGGGGTTGGGCTACGTGAGTCAAAGGCCGCTTTGCTCGAGAAACAATTTGCTGGCAATGGCCAAATGGTATGCTCGTCGCTGCAATGCTGCGCAGGTCGGCACGAGAGTAGTAATGCACAACCAGCCCTCTGCAACAATCAGCTTGTCAGATGCGTTTGGTCCACACGGTTTTCGGTGCAACATGCTCACGGAAAAAAGCGCAAACCAGCTTTTCATGACGGATATCGTGGGTTTAGGGTTTAGGGTTTAGGGTTTTAGGGTTTAGGGTTTAGGGTTTAGGGTTTAGGGTTTAGGGTTTAGGGTTTAGGGTTTAGGGTTTAGGGTCATTCTACAAGTGGGCCTTTCAGGCTTAGCATGCTGCTGATGTGTGGATCAATGACAACAAACGCGTCACTACAAGATCGGACGCACATGTGGCATGGCAACAGGAGAAGCTCGCTCAGTCAAGGGTTTCCCTAACCGTTCCACCTCAAGTATCGTTCCACCTCAATTTCAGCGTGCTGCTTCAGCGCGAAACCCACGCGCTGAAGCAGCATCCGAAATTGAGGCAGCACCCAAATCGAGGCAGCATGCATTTGGCACGGGAATTTGGCTTGGCATGTTTCTTCTCAAACAAAAGAGCCTTTCTAGCGAAACCCAGTTGATTTTCACAGCGTGCCACCTCGACTATCGTTCCACCTCAATTTCAGCGTGCTGCTTCAGCGCACAACCCCCGCTGAAGCAGCACCCAAAATCGAGGCAGCACCCAAATCGAGGCGGAATGGCTATGGAACTCCTTGACTCAGAGGGCCATTGCACTGTGGCCATTCAACCTACCTGAGCTAGCTTCTAACCCTAAACCCTAAACCCTAAACCTCAGATTCAACCTAAAGCTTCTTTCGGTGTGAGTTATGCCCCAAGCTGGCGGATGAGAGTCCTGGATGCCAAAAACAACAAGGGTTTCAGGGTTTGGGTTTAGGGGTTTAGGGTTCGGGCTCAGGGTTTAGTTTTTGGGGCTTAGGGTTTATAGGGCTCAGGGTTTGGGGAACCCCCCTTGGCCGGCTCAGAAACCCCACGACCTGAGCCGGAGCCTGGACGTCTGAGGTGACGGCGCCTTGAGCGCAGGTATTGACACGGTGGACATCGAGTTCACGAAAGTCCATCTTGCCCAGTTGGACGCTTGCCGTGTAGGTGCTGAGAGTTTAAGGCTAGTAGAAGGTTCCGGGATGGTGTCCTTCTTCCAAGTTCCTGTGGAGGGTTTAGGGTTTAGGGTTTAGGGTTTAGGGTTTAGGGTTTAGGGTTTAGGGTTTAGGGTTTAGGGTTTATCGGTATACATTCCGCGCTTAAACAAAGTCAAGCCCAAGAAGACCTGACTTGGTCCTACTTGGTGTTTCATGGGTACTTATATCCCCAATTCTGCGTCTACTTATAACCCACCTCGAGGACTTCGGGGACTTTAGAGGCCTTGTCAGTGAAGTTAAGATTGGGGTTATAAGCACCCTGAACCTCGAAGCAGGCTGCTGAAGCCGAAGAGAGGGATCGGGGAATCGGTCTTGCTGTCTCTCACTCACCGGGGCTACATCTTTCTGAGTTGTACATGTTTTGCGCTTGTCGCTTTGGCAGAACCCCCCCCCCCCTTAAATGTCTACGAGCACTGACTTGTACAGGGCGATGCCGTGGCATATTCACCTAGCTTTCCGCACATCCGCTTGAACCTTCAACATCCAACTCAACAGCAGACAGCAAGCAAGTAAGAGTTTGAACAACGTTTGCCATCGTGCTCTTGACCCGACAGAAGATGGATTACTTTACTGTTCTCCGATAGGAATCCTGCTTCTGATGGCTGACTCTGCGGCTTAAAGTCAGGGTGTGCGCATCTTGAAGACGTACCCCCCCCCCCCCCCCCCACTGCGCACGAGCTATTGGCAACTCAAGCCCTAAGCCCAAGGGTTTAGGGTTTAGGGTTTAGGGTTTAGGGTTTAGGGTTTAGGGTTTAGGGTTTAGGGTTTAGGGTCTAGGGTTTAGGGTTTAGGGTTTAGGGTTTAGGGCTTGGGTGTAGGCCATTCTGTTGGGGCATGGTGCCAGCGAAGGACATTTCGAACTTCCCCGGCGAGGAAGGTATCAGGAAAGCAGCACCTTGGCTCAAGCCACACTGCCCTAAACCCTGCAAACCCTAAATCCTGCAAGCCCTAAACCCTAAACCCTAAAGACCACGAGTTGCAGGAGCTGAGATGCAAGGACCCTGAGGAAGGTACCTTTGAGTTTACTGGCTCCTCATGCACATGCAGTTGCCACGTGTAGACCCTGCCGGAACATCACCCCAAGCCCGAAAAGCCCTAAACACTAAACCCTAAACCCGAAACCCTAAACCTAAACCCCAAACCCTAAACCCTAAACCTTTCTGTGAGGTCAACGGCCTCCTGGAGACCAGATTGAGAGACGAGCTCGAGAAAATTCTGGAGTCCGCTGGATGCAATATGAGCTACTTGCAGGTTCATGGGGACTTATAAGTATGGTTTAGGGTTTAAGAAAGGTTTAGGGTGTTAGGGTTTAAGACTTCTCAGAAAGGTTACGTACTACAACCAGAATTACTCAACTTACAACCCTCCTAGTAAGTACCCAGGCACCTCCAAGCGATATCCAAGCTCGGTATGGGCTCTTGGGATCTTTTCGGTCTCCCACAGAAGGTCATAAGCAGGGCCTAGACTTTGACATAAGTCCCGTATCCAGAGCATTTGCGAAGAAGCCGGGCACCTTAAGAGACTTAGTAGCCCAGTGGTACCCTTTACCCTTTTTTTTTTGGTTCTGGGTTCCCCTTTACCCTTTTTTTTTTGTTCTGGGTTCCCCTTATTGAAAGTAGCCAACAAAAAAAGGGTGCCCTTGTGAGAATATGGTTACTGGGCTACTAAGGAGACGCTTGCATGTCTCGATTTTGAGGGATGCAGGGCATGGCTTCGAGTCGACTCTGGGGTGTGAGTGTGTGTGTGTGTGTGTGTTGTGTTTTTGGGTTTAGGGTTTAGGGTTTAGGGTTTAGGGTTTAGGGTTTAGGGTTTAGGGTTTGGGGTTTGGGGTTTAGGGTTTAGGGTCTATTGGGATGTTCCCCTTGATACTAACAGTCTTTAATAAGGATTTGTAATACGAGTACTATAGTCTTTTAAGGGCTGTTAGTAGGAGAGCATCCCAAGTCTAGGGTCTAGGGTTTAGGGGTTCCGATTCCGGTGGCATTGTTCTAAGCCTACACCCCTACACCCCTACACCCTCAACCCTAAACTCTGCTTGGAGGTTCATGGGCACTTATAACCCCAATTCGAAGCCTACTACTAACCTACCTAGAGGACTTAGGGACCTTAGGGTACTTATCACCCGAAGTATATCCCTACACTTTGTGCTGTAGTAGTGCATTATAAGCTGGCCCTTCCTCGAAGCGCCAAAGCACAAGATGCAACAGTGGGGCCCGGTTTGGTGCGGTGGTTTGTTCAGACATCCGCGATCTTGGATGGAAACCCTAAACCCTAAACCCTAAACCCTAAACCCTAAACCCTAAACCCTAAACCCTAAACCCTACTAAACCCTAAACCCTAACCCCCCCTCCCCCCCATCATGCAGCAAACGGTTTTCTGCTGGGGCAGCAGAAGGAAACCCAGAAGTGTCAGCCTAAGGAACAAGCTGAAGGACATCATCCAGAATGCGATCTCCAACGGAGTGACTCTTGTACCACCCTAAACCCTAAACCCTAAACTCTAAACCCTAAACCCTAAAGCCCCCGAAGCTTTCGGATCCTCGGTGGGCCTTTCCCTCCGCCTCCTGGTTCTTAGTCGGGAATGAGGGAATTAGGGCCCTACATGCACCCTTTTGAGGGAATATACAGGGTACCTCATTCCCTTACTAAGAACCAGGCAGCTTCAAGAGGGATTAGAGTCAGGAGTATATCTTCATACGGTTTACAGCCTACAGTCCTTACCTGCTCTTTTGCGCTCATCCAGGGTGCTCAGGTTGCAACCAAATGTGCCCAAGGTTTCATGAACCCTAAACCCCAAACGTACTAGTTCCTCAAGTTTGCGTAAGCTCCCAGAGTTTGACCAGGGGGGCGGGGGGGAGGAGTTTAGGGTTTGAGGTTTAGGGCAGCCGGGTTGTTCCTCAAGCCTGACGGACTCAAAAAAAGCCTGTTGCAAAAGGGAAGCTTCAACCCAGAACTCCTCAACCGCCTGCCCGAAGCCCTAAACCCTAAACCCTAAACCCTAAAATCCAAGATGAAGACTTTTGACCCTCATCCTGGCATTACAAAAGCACCACATCCGGGCGAAATTCAAGGGACGCAATTTGCACATGACCCAGTCCCACGAACCTCCAAGCCTAAACCCTCAACCCTCAACCCTCAACCCTGAACCCTAAACCCTAAACCCTAAAGGCCCTCTAAGACCCTACATACCGCCTCTGTTTGCCGCCCGAACTTCGCCGACTCTGAGGAGCTCGGTGGGTTCGAAGATCCAGATGCCCAGCGGCGACTCGGGCCGGCGCTTGTACACCTGCCAGGCCGTTGGGGTTTGGGGTTTAGGGTTTAGGGTTTGGGGTTTTGGGTTTAGGGTTTAGGGTTAGGGTTTAGGGTTTAGGGTTTAGGGTTTAGGGTTTAGGGTTTAGGGATTAGGGTTTAGGGCTTAGGGCTTAGGGCTTAGGGCTTAGGGTTTAGGGTTTAGGGTTTAGGGTTTAGGGTTTAGGGTTTAGGGTTTAGGGTTTAGGGCAAGCAGGCGAGAGACCAGCAGGCCAGAGCCCAGCAGGCGAGCATCATGAGCATCAGCCGCCCAGGCCGTTCATCTGCCACAAAAGCTTCACATCTTTTTACAGCCCAGCACGTCTGGCGACGAGTCTTTAAACCCCTAAGCCCTAAACCCTAGCATACTTTACACTTTTTGAGGATGCTATCTTTTTGGGGGCTAATGAACCTAGGTAGGCCCTTGGGACATTTTGTATTTTCCCTTATTTGGGTTTAAGAGCATCATATTCAGGAATATTTTTCAGAGGGTTTTAGGGGCAATCCTAGGAACTCAGCAACGAGACATCTGAAAAGCCCGTCATCCCCACAGGCCTTCGATGGGCCCCTTGACTGACAGCGAGGGCTGGAGCATCGTGCAGGATCTGGGGGTTTGGACTTGGAGGATTCGAGGTTTGGAGGGTTTAGGGTTTAGGGTTTAGGGTTTAGGGTTTAGGGTTTAGGGTTTAGGGTTTAGGGTTTAGGGTTTAGGGTCTTCTTTCAAGCTGCGGCTTAGGGGGCTAGATGTGAAGTTTGGGGCAGGAGGCTATGAGACTCTGCAAATCGGCTACGGACTCTGAATAAGTCGAGGCCCCTAAGCCCTAAACCGACTCAGGTCTTACATGGTGTCTCCTGCGAGAAGCCTCCTCCAGCTTCCCCACGCCCGGGGGCCTGGGTTGGTTGCTTTTGCTCTTCCTCGGAGGGGGGTGTGTTATTGACACCTTCAATCCCTAGTGCCAAGTGTGCTGCTTCCCAGACGCCCCTCGAGTTTTTTTTTTAATTCTCAAGGCCTCATGCGTGGTAAGCACGCATAGCCTTTGGGAGCAAGGAGGGGAGGGAGAGTAGCGCAAAGAGCCGACTCGGCTTGGAGATTGGTGGTTTTGGGATGTGTTTTAGGGGCTCGGGGGTGTGGGATCTGTCTGAACTCCAGACGCGTTTGTTCTAGAAGCCCTGGGTCGCGTTCAGGACTCGGAGCCTACCCTAAACTCCCTAAACCCTTAGACCACAAACCCTCTGCGTCCGAGGCGCTGCTCTTAATCCTGGTGGCGTGGTTTCTGTGCTGAGCCGTGCCCACGGGCGCTGCGCCCTCTCGTCTATCGGCCGGAGCCTGGTACCAGGATGGGCCATTAGGCCTTCAAATCCCCATAATATTCCCGAAAAAATGGCCATTTTAAGGGATTATAGGGTATAATCGCCCATCCTGGCTAATGTTCCTTGGAGGCTTTGGAGCCTTCGATGGCGTTGAAATTTGATCGGCGGGCTCAATCGTGGGCTTTGGGAGTTCAATTGTGACCGAATGTCGATCTGTATATGCTACGCATTCTACTTGCATAAAATGTGCTTTGCATATTTTATCTTGCATTTTGAGTTTAGCGTTATTATGTCCTCTACTTATATACCAGACATTCTCTATTGCATGTATAGACCGGTATCACAGTCGCATCATTTACATTGCGTAGCACAAGTTGCTTATGTCTGTTATTCGCTCCAGGTTACAAACTATGTTCTTGTAAAATGTATAGGTAGTATACATTTCTTATTTATTTATGTATCTATGAATGCTTACATTGTGCTGGACAGAGACCATACGATACTTTACTACACTATACGCACATTGTATAGAAGCCACGGCCTTCTTCCTCGCGCGTAAATGCCTTAGGGTTTTCAGGGTTGTTATTGGGGTTGCTAGGGTTTGTTCAAGGGTTTTAAGGTCAGGGTTCTAGGGTTTTCGGGGATTCGGGGAAGGGTTCGGCTCTATAAGGGGACTCCGGCGGAGCCCCTGCAACACCAGAAAAAAAAGGGGAAGAGGATGTACACACGTTCTTCTAGCGGGATATTGCTTATGAACATACACACATACCGTAGAACATTCTGAACCTGCTCTGTCGATGTATGAGCCCGCGCGGGTCTCCTGTATGTCTGCAGGCGAAGTTTCTGCTAATGCCTCCACGCCTCGCGGCAGGGAAACTTGAAATGGTTTCTTGCTGCCACATCCAAGACTTGAATGCCCGTGCCTCTGAGCATTTGAATGTGGGCTGCTTGCTGTCGCGGGGCGTCTCTTCAGCTTGGAGAGGGAGAGCTGCCTGGACGCTGCTCTCTAAGATTCAGGTTCCGGGGCCACGAGCAACGTGCACTTCTGTGCCATGTTGTCTTCTGGCCATTTTCCTCAGCATCACCCCTTTTCAACCCTAAACCCTAAGTTCACTTCAAGACCAAGTTTTGGCATCCTCGAGCTCCAGCCTGTTTTTCTGGTTTTAGGGTTTAGAGTTTTAGGGTTTTAGGGTTTAGGGTTTTATGGTTTAGGGTTTAGGGTTTTAGGGTTTTAGGGTTTAGGGTTTAGGGTTTAGGCCGCAGACTAGTAGCAAAAGGGATTAGGGTTCAGAGCACCTACGCCATTCTGCTACAGCACAAGTTTAAGGAAGCTTCAGCCAAGTTCGCGATGCACGAGTTGTGTGGACCGTGCTTGGTTCGCGACGCACGAGTTGTGTAGACCGTGATTAAGCATGGCCAGCGAGCAACGTCATAGTCCCACCCTGAACCCTGAAGCCTTAACCCTAAATAGTCCTACGTAGCTTGTCTCCAAGGAGCTTCTTCGAGACAGTCCACAAGACCGCATGCATAAACCCTAAACCCTAAACCCTGAACCCTAAACCCTAAACCCTACACCGCACTGAACCTATGCGAGTGATGCTGAATGCTCCAGTCCGAGCACTTCAAGCACTTCTGGAGCAAGTGAGAAGTAGATAGCGCACCGGGGGCCCAGGGTCGGGCGTAGAGTTAGGGTTTAGGGTTTAGGGTTTAGGGTTTAGGGTTTAGGGTTTAGGGTTTAGGGTTTTAGGGTTTTAGGGTTTTAGGGTTTTGGGTTTTAGGGTATAGGGCATAGGGATGGGGCCGGACCCTGTATCGTCTTGAGCTTTATAACATTTCCTTGTGAGCTACACAACCGGCTTGTTGTGAGAACAACGATTGCGAGGCATCTCATTTGGGCACCACGAAGGCACAGCACATTGTCACCCTAAACCCAATATTATCAAGAGCAAGCCTTACGGTGAGAAGTTCTGAAGCTTAGGGTTTATTCTTCTTGGCTTCGTACATGTAAAGGGGATCTTGCGACATCTAAGAAGCACGTCTGACGCGATGGGCTCTCTCTATACATGCAAGTCTGTCGCATCACGGCTTGCCCACGGCCGGGGCGCCTCGACATGTTGCCATTATCGCATAGCAGGCAGCGCCCCAGACGTGGCGCCGTGATGCTGGGCACGGGCCAAGGGGCCTGCTGTCCCTGTTTGCCGGCTGCTGGCCCGAATGGGTCTAGCTAGCAACTTATGGGAAAGATGGCGGCGTCGCGCCTCACACAAGACACATGCTGTCCAAAAGCGGCCACACCTGCACCCTAGTCAGCTTATTCGTTTCGGACTGGAGATGCAATATGCCAGGTGTCGAAGTTGAGTAGCTCGTTGCGCGCAGCGGCGTCTGTCGGCAGCGCCAAACTACACAGCACCGCAGCTTCGCAGCTGTCTTAATGTCAAGCTCAAGAGGGGTCGGAGGGGCTTGTGGTAGGCAGTCTGGTTTCTACTGTTTCGCCCCTTGGCTTCAGACGTATGCTTCCGGAGGAGCCGGCCCATCGCCAGTTGCTGTTTTGCACACATTTACAGACTAATCTCTCGACCTCTGTCGAGGGATGAAGATGCGGCGGATGCTTGCATGACTAGGCCCTAAACCCTAAACCCTAAACCCTAAACCCTAAACCCTAAACCCTAAACCCTAAACCCTAAACCCTAAACCCTAAACCCTAAACCCTAAACCCTAAACCCTAAACCCTAAACCCTAAACCCTAAACCCTAAACCCTAAACCCTAAACCCTAAACCCTAAACCCTAAACCCTAAACCCTAAACCCTACCCAGAGTACGCCCTTACTCCTCCTTAAAGGGTCCAGGTCCCCTTCTGAGCCCCTTTAAACCAAAAAGGGTACCCCTCTCATTCATATGTTACTCCTGGGTAACCCTAAACCCTCAACCCTCAACCCTCGGCCCTAAACCCTCAACCCTCAACCCTCAACCCTAAACCCTAAACCCTAAACCAGGTTTCAACGGTGGTGGACCCATTGACAAAGCAGCCGCCACGAGTGCGGACTGGGTTCTGGCATGGCAACTCGCCGTTTAGGGTTTAGGGTTTAGGGTTTAGGGTTTAGGGTTCAGGGTTTAGGATTTACGGTTTACGGTTTAGGGTTTAGGGTTTAGGGTTTACGGTTTAGGGTTTAGGGTTGAGGGTTTAGGGTTTAGGGTACCCCGGTGCTGCCCTTAACTTTTTTGGTTCTGGATTCCCTAGAAAAGAGTAACCAACCAGAAAAGGGTACTCCTCATGATGAGTCCTTGGTACCCCAGTGGTACCGTTTGCCCTTTTTGTTTTTTGGTTCTGGGTTCTTCTCGAAAAAGGGCAGCTTCACTGACGGGTGGCATTTACTACTATTATTTGCGTGAGAACCCCTCAAAAAGCACAAAATGTTCTTCCTGATAGGGGTAATATAGTAGGGAGAATTGTTTTCATTCTTGGGTGGGGGGGGGGGGGTTCTCAAGCAAAGAATAGCTTCGAGCTTGACAACCTGAAGGTTAGGGTTGAGGGTTTCGGGTTTAGGGTTTATGGGTTTAGGTTTTCCTTTATTTTGAGAGGGGTTACTGGCCTACCAAGTCTGCGACAGGTAGCAGACGATGAAGAAGCGGATTTGAGTCAGAGTCTGGCTGTCGACGAGGCGCCTTGCTGTGAGACAGCTCCGGGCAGGGTTTGGGGTTTAGGGCTGAGGGCTTAGGTCTTAGGGCTTATAGGGATTTATCGGGCTTAAACTTTAGCGTTCACCCCTAAACTCGAAGCCCTTCTTCATCATCAATGTTCTAATATGCAGAGGCCCCGCAAACACCCCTGGACCAACTCAAAAGCCTAAGACCTATACTTGGAGGTTCAGGGCCCTGGGTTCTACAAAAAAGGGTTTTATCGGGGGTAGATGGTACATACAGGGTGTATGAGGGTATGTTGTTAGGGTATGTTAGGGTATACTTGGAGGTTCAGGGTACTTATAGCCCCAATTATGACTGTACTTCTAATTATAAGGCCCTTAACTCCCCAAAGTCCTCTTAGAATTGGGGTTATAAGAAAATACCCCCCACACACACAGACGCACACCCACCCACCCACACACGCCCACACATGCCCACACACACCCACACACACCCATCCACACCCACCCACACACACACACACACGCGCGCGCACACACACACACACACACCCACCCACCCACACCCACACAGAGAGAGAGAGAGAGAGACACACACACACACACACACACTCACAGAAACACACACCCACGCACACAAACACAGAGAGAGAGAGAGAGAGATCTCCGCCTCCCCCCTCCCTGGAAAAAACTAAAACCCTAAAACCAAAATCCTAAACCCAAAGCGGTGGGTATAGCCCCACGCCCTAAGCTCTAAGCCCTAAACCCTAAACCCCCAAGCCCAAAACCCTACAAGCCTCAACCCTAAACCTCACCCATACCCACAGCACGGGGTGGGGGTGGGGGAGGGGGGGGGAGGGGGGGGCGCAACGATACATACACAAACAGGCTTGCTGCCAATGATCCCCACCCTCAGTGCTAACATTGTTCTTGCGGGGCCAAGCCCATCTTGAAAATCTAGATCCTAATTAAACTCTAAACCCTAAACCCCAAACCCTAAACCCTAAACCCTTAACCCCAACAGATCCCTGACTTGATCGAACCACTGAAGGAAAAGTCCGCGGGCTTAGCTCCTAATTCCACCCTATAAACCCTACAATATAAACGTTACTCACTTCGTGGGCAATGTCATGTTTCACCAGCCCTCAACGTCATATGTAGTAGGGTTTTTTCTTGTACCTCCAAAAGGACACCAGGTATATACACTCGCCAATATTAAACAGGAACCTTATATGCATTCACCAAGAACAGAAAATATAAACCCTGCTTCACATGAGCGGGCAAGGTCATATAAAGAGCAAGGTCGCATCAAGAGCGGGCGAGCCCCGCTC